GAGAGGAGATTTAATTCCTTTTTCAATGTAGTCCTGTTGTACTAAATCTAGCTGAAATTTCTTTTACTTTTTCTCAGGTTTATTAGATTCTTCCTATTTTTAAAAACTGTCATGTTTTCTTCTCTTTCAATATTTAGCTGGTAAATTTTTGTGAAATAGAGTTCTTACCCAGAATCCTTAGTATAGAATTTTAAATCTTACACATAGACCTTACACATTAGTCTAATATCCTCATTTCACAGATGATAAAACTTAGGTTCAAAAAATATATGTTATGCCATTAAATATATATGGTTTTGATGGCATCATACTCAAGTTTTGAGAGGGAAAATTGGCATAGGACTGAGTGTCATGCCCTTTGCTGATTCAGCACATGAGGCATCATTAGAGAAAATATGACAGTTTTATTTGTCTTAGCTGACTGTGGTTTAGAAAGACAACTTATACTTTTTTGGCTTCCTTAACTATATAGTTTCTCTATGTGGGAAGGGCTAAGAAACTGTACGTATCTCTGCTTGACTTTGTTGGTACTTGGTGTTCAGAAGTTGGAATGTTGTGCAATAATATATGCTGGATATTTGATTTAAATGGTTCTCTTTGCCAGAGAAAGTAAATGGTTACAGGGGCTAGTGGAAAGGACAGTAGTTTTAGATTTGTATTTACATTTTTTGTATATCCTTTGCAGAAAGAGAACTTGTAAAATATAAACATTTTCAATACTATCTTTATTAATGCAATCAATATATATTTAACCATCTAATCCATCTAACAGATGGATACCATACAAGTGTAAACTAAAAAGTTAGAATCTCTGCCCTTATTGGGTTTATAGCCTCATGGATGGAGGAATCAATGGGTAACTAAGTAATTATCATACAGTAAATTAAGTGTCATTATAGTTGATCTGTGGTAGGAAACACTTTGCCTAGACTTGGGAATGTCTTAAGAGAATGAACAGAAGAAATAACATTTCAACTGATGAAAACTGGGGGAAGATTGTAGCACCCAAAGTATGGTCCCTGGACCAGCAGTATCTGCATTACGTAGGCCCTACCTTAGATCTACTGAACCATTCATTCATGGAGCGTGGCTGGCAATCTGTGCTTTACAAACCCTCCAGGTGATTCTGATTCTGAGAATAGAGCTGAGAGAGAGAACAACATTAAATAGAGCTGGAGCAGAGACTTTGAAGTCATTAAGAGCTTGAGTTGAGGCAGGTGAGGCCTGATAAGATAGTTGAAGAATTTAGATTTTTATCTTAAGTGCACTTGTAAGCCATTGAAACATTTTCAATAGGGGAACAACTTGATCAGCTTTGTCTTTTAGAAAGATCACAAGAGAAGAGATTGGAGCTGAGTAGAAAGAACATATAGGAAGCTAGTATAGTAATAATGCTGATGGTCTTGCCTGTGGAATAAAGTAGACAGGTTAGGTAGTTAGGATAATTTCTAGGATTTGCATATTGATTTAAATAAGGAGAAGGAGGAATTCCCAGGTTTAGCACTTGGGCCACTGGATAGATAGTGATTGTCTATCTAGTCTCTGGGGTAAAGAAAGCAGGAGGGGCAGGTTGGAGAGCACAGGGAAGATTATGAGCTTCAGTTTGGTTTTGAACAACTGCAAGTGAAGTACTTATGGGGATAGTCAATAGAGATACCACTAGGCAATTCGATATTTTCCTAGAACTTAAGAAGTATGGGTTAAATATATAGACATGGAAGGATTTGGGAGACATGAGGTAAATTGAAGTCTTAAGGAATCAATTAGAGAATGAAAGTATGTTGAATGAATGAGAACATAAATATTGCAGAAACATCCATATTGGGAATCAGAAGTCCAAAATGACTGAGAAGGACCACCCAGAGAGAACAGTCAAGACCCAAGCGAGTATGATGTCATGGAAGCCTAGGGAAGAACTTTCCAGAAAGAACCTCTCAGTTGTATGTCTGATACTCAAGTCAAAAGGGGCAGCTGACAAGTTTCTATTTGGTTATCCACACAAAGATTAGAGCAGCTGTGGGAAGTTATATGGCTCTGAAGAGTTTGGCTAGAGTGGACTTAATGGATAGGTGGGGGTAGAAGCCATACTATGGGAAGTCAGTGGGAGACAGACATTATAGATGATTTGGCTCTGAAGGAGGAAAAGAATCAAAGGTGGAAGGAGAACATGAGATCATAGGGGACCTTTTTTATTAAAAAAATAAAAAGATAGTAGAGACTTAATGTTAAGTATTGATGGTAAAGAGTGTTGGTGGAGGGTGAGAGAGAAGAAGAAGAAAGGGAAGGAAAAGAGAAAAAGGGGAGGAAACTGAAGATAGAGGAGAAAGAAAGCAATGGATAGAACAAAGTTCTTGAAATAGTAGGAAAGGGTGGGATGCAGAGCACTTCAGTGGCAAAAGGGGCACCTCTTCTGTTGTAACAGAAGAAGAACAGGTAATTTTGTCTTGTTGGTGGGAGAAAAATGAGGGAGTTCCAATCTGATAATTTTCTGTTTTTCTCCAACAGCCGATGGAGAAAGAAAAGATGGGCTCAAAAGTTTGAGAATGGTAGATTAGTTTAAAATAGTCACTGTGCAGAATATATACAGGGATTATTAGGGGGAGAGCCAGATCGTCGTGTTGCATCGAAGTCCCAGTTGAGGATAGATGTCATGAATTTATACTGGGATCCATCTGCGGATGTGTTGGTTTTCTCTTTCTCAGAAGCCTTAATGTACATGTGGAAGTAGCAACAAATTGGATTCATCCAATAACATCCAACACTGATATTATTCTAATATGTTGTTTTAGAAGTACAGTGGTGTGAGGAGGAAAAAAGATAAAGGCCTCCGTTTCCTTATCTAAAAGTTCCGAAATTCAAGAAACTCTGAAAACTTAAGTTTTTTTGTTTTTTTTTTATAACTCATTTGGTGGCAGAACTTCTCTGAATGAATTGATTTGAGGTTATTTATAGCTTTTGCTTATCAAATTTAATGTGTATGTCCATGTGTTTTGCTTCACAAATCGTCTGTGATTATGGAATATTGTCTTAAACTCTGCTGGGGATGTTATATATGGAATATGCACTATATAACTGTTCTTAAAATCAGAACAATTCTAAATTCTGAAGGACATCCGACCCCAGTGTCAAGAGGAAATTGTGTTCCTCTGTTAGTAATGAAGAGATTGAAATGATAGATTAATATTATGGAATCTAAGCTAGAAAAGAGAAAAGGTGAAGTTGGGGAGGGTAATCTCACTAGGAAAAAGTAAAGGAAATAGATAACTGCAAATAACTAGAAGTGTTGGGGGTCAAGTAGAAAATTTGAAGAATGAGAAGTTGTGATGAGCAATTACTATAGAATGCCTCAGTTATTTCCAAAGGGAGACAGTTCTGGGTGGTTGCAAACTCTAGTATGTGTGACCGTGGGCATGGGCAGCTGAATTGTAATGGAATAGAAGGTCATTATGGATTAGGTCAAGAGCATGAGAGACAAGAAAATTAGATGAATTGCACAGAGTAATGGCAGGTTTTAGGATGCAATGGAACACTACAAACCAAGTTCTCTGATCCTCAGTGAATAATTAGACACTGCGGAAGGTACCAAAAGATACCAAGATGTTTAAGACAAATTCTTCACTCTTCCCTTGGAATATGATCTCTTTAAGAAACAGACAAGTGAAGAGATAATTATACAGCATGTTAAGTGTAATGTTTAAACCCTGATCTAAAAGCTGTTAAAATCTAGGTGAGGAAAGAGACTTTAGGTGTCTGAATAAGTCAGAGGACTAAAAAATTCCTAGGTGTTTCACATTGTTTTTGAAATTTTCAGCATTTGATAAACATTTATGTACAACTTATATATATCAAATATTCTGATAGAATATTTGATCAAAAAATAGAGGTTAAAACTGTCATATTTGCTAAGTAATTTGTCAATATTAGAAGCAAAGCATGATAAAAAGAAAAATGTAAAATATGAACTGCCTTTAAGAAGTATTTTTTAAGAGTCTTAGATAAATTTAAGACTCTCAGAAGAGTGATTTATTCTATGTGATGTATAATTTTCTAGTTTCTTCTTTATTTTTTATTTTCTAATTTTGTTTTTTTATTGACCACCTCTATTATTCTATTACAAACTGCCTCAATGCTTTTTGGATTCAAATGAGAATATAATTAATGTGCAAAAACATTCTAGTCAATGATGTTCAAAAATAAACATGTTTTAAAGCATTTATCATCTCAGCTTTTAAAAGATACACTTCATGTAATGTAAGTGTGTTTTACTTCTTGTAGGGCAATGTCAGAGTGTCAGCTGCTCTTTGGAGGTCCTCCAGAAAGGGAGAAAAGTTCTCAAATGTTATAGATTGGTCGATGAGTGCTATTCTGGGGATAAGGAGCTGTGGGGGTGGGCCATGCTGACCACAGGAATGTTGAGCAGCACATGTTGGCTTTGGGCAAAGAACTTTAGATGCATAGTGACTTCTTTGAAATGTTGGGACTGATGGTCCTTGTGGGAACCTGCATCACAAAATGTCTGTCCCAGATGGAATGTACTATGTGAGACTAGAAATGCGGAATAATAGGGCAATGATACCCTATCAAGAAACCAACTGCATTTACAGATTCCCTAAATAACAGGTCAAAATAGATTTTACTATGGTAAATATTCCAGTTGCAATGCTCTACAAAATTTTCATCTGTCTGATGTATTTTAAGCAAGATTTCTGGGTCATGTGGCTTTTCTAGTAGACTTTAATGACATGCAACCACTAAACAGAGACCTTGTCATTTCTTTAACTCCAACTGTCTTTAATCTTCAGGACAGTAATACTGTGAGAAACTTAGGGGTTTCAACATAATCATAGAATGTTGCGCAGGATCAGATTCTCAAATTCTTTACTTTTGTTTTTCCCACATTTAGTATAGAATTCTTGTATTATCAATATGTCTTTGAATTGGGGTCTGTGGTTTCTTCTATTTTTTTTTTTTTTCATCATCTTCCCTCCTTTCTCTTTTAGTTCACAGCCATGAACGAACCACAGTGCTTCTACAATGAGTCCATTGCCTTCTTTTACAACCGGAGTGGGAAGCATCTTGCCACAGAGTGGAACACAGTCAGCAAGCTGGTGATGGGACTTGGAATCACTGTCTGTATCTTCATCATGTTGGCCAACCTTCTGGTCATGGTGGCAATCTATGTCAACCGCCGCTTCCATTTTCCTATTTATTACTTGATGGCTAATCTGGCTGCTGCGGACTTCTTTGCTGGGTTGGCCTACTTCTACCTAATGTTCAATACGGGACCCAATACTCGGAGACTGACCGTTAGCACGTGGCTCCTCCGTCAGGGCCTCATTGACACCAGCCTGACAGCATCTGTGGCCAACTTACTGGCCATTGCAATCGAGAGACACATTACGGTTTTCCGCATGCAGCTTCACACACGGATGAGCAACCGGCGGGTGGTGGTGGTGATCGTGGTCATTTGGACTATGGCCATTGTTATGGGGGCTATACCCAGTGTGGGCTGGAACTGCATTTGTGATATTGACAATTGTTCCAACATGGCACCCCTCTACAGTGACTCTTACTTAGTCTTCTGGGCCATTTTCAACTTGGTGACCTTTGTTGTAATGGTGGTTCTCTATGCTCACATCTTTGGCTATGTTCGCCAGAGGACTATGAGAATGTCCCGGCATAGTTCTGGACCCCGACGGAATCGGGATACCATGATGAGTCTTCTGAAGACTGTGGTCATCGTGCTTGGTAAGTTTGTCTTGACTGTAACTTACTTTATGGATTCCCAATGTCTTAATATAAACCACATTAGTTTATGATCATGGTGAACAACAATATGAATATTCAGGTATACATACAGGGATTACAAGGGAATTAGGCACCTTTATATTAAATCAGTTTACTAGTGTTTCTACAATTATAGAATCAGCTTTATGGATATATGGGGTTCAGTGGTGCAGCATAAATGGTGGTGATATAAAAAATGTCATTGAAGAGTTCTGCTATCTTAATGTAGAAAAATACCAAAATAATGAATCAAATTCATTTAGTTTTTGAAAGATTTTCTTACAGCTCAAATTGCTTTTGCCTTGTGGTCTCTGTGTTACAGATTTTCTGATAGAAAGTGCTTTCATATAATAAGGAATATACTTTCATACGTAGTTATTTTTATTAGTCTAAGTAAGTTAATCTGTCACATTCTGTAATTGTTACTACATTTTTGTGCATAAGTGTATTAAGGTTTCTTGTGGATTTACTGAACAAAACAGATTGGAATTAATGATATTCTCTGACAGCAATTCCGTGAAAACTTACTCTTTTTAAATTAATTTTCTGTTTGTAGGAATGGAAGTCAATTCATAGTTCAAGATGAAGAGCAAGCTTTTATTGTTTTTTTGTAGACTCAAATAACTTTTTCCTTTAAATAAGCATTATTTTTCCTGAATGAAAGATGTGTGATAGTGATCAGGAAGAATATATTTCTTCATTTAGGTACTGAGAAAATAGTTAAGGAGCACCTAGTAAGTTCTAGGCTCTGTGCTGGCCCTGGAGATATACCCATGGAAGTGACAGACATAAAACATTTCTTTTGGAGTTTAGAGTAGAGTGCCTATTTAAAAAGTGTGCTCAGTGAGAATTTGTTTAAATAATCACCTAATTGAATTACATATTTTCCAAAGACTATAATCAGACTAATATTTAAAAAATCCTTTTATCATTTCATCTTTCTCTAAGGAAATTCTGTGGAAAGTTCCTATTATTCTCTTTGCTCTAGTTTGTAAAGCAGTGTTGAGTGAATATAGCCCATGATTACATGGCTCCCCTTAAACTCTGATAGTTACATTAATTTTAGTGACTGGAAGGAGATAGAGTGCTGATTATCATGAAATAAATTAGCATTCTGGTTGATGCCTCAGTCCTGGCTATGTTGGTTAGGGTGAGTGGATCATGGAGATCATTTCTGGTTATACTGATTGTGACCTTCTTATAGATCTGTCAGAACGAGAACTAGGCCTTGGAATTGCTGACACAGCTAAATGGAATACTTAGATAATATGCCCACTGGGGACCTCACCTCAGATGTGAGATTGTCTTATTCCATCCAAGGAAGTTTAGTAGATGTACAGAAATGGTTTCCCCATTTGCTTAATTATCGACAAGACCTTGGGCAAGCCTGTGCCACAGGGACATAGTTTCCATGATATAGATGAAATACATCTTAGTTTATTGTGGATGCCATTTTTGTACGAAATTAAATAACATGAGACATTTTATTTCTCTATTATCTCAAATGTTTATTTACTGATGATCTAAATGTTGACTGACACTTTTCATATTGTGTGTACTTTTTCTATTATGAGAAGTGCTCCTTAAAGTTCATGGAACCACCAGCAATACTGAACTTGGACTATTAACCTGCCAAGTTATTGTTTTACTTTTGAGCTTTATATAATATCTAGCATATTCCAGTATGAGTATACTGAGTGATTCATGCAAAATTAACTTTTATGTCTCATTGGGTTATTTTGCAGGTTGAGATAATTATTTTGAGGATTTATAGAGCTATACTGTCCGTAATGACTCTTACCCATCCCCCACCAACACACACCCCTAAACTTAAAAATAACAGAAATAATATTGCCTTCTTAGATTTAACCTAGTAGACTCTACAAAGATTGAATATGGTTAACTGTCTCTAAATATTATTTCTATAGCTGTGAGATGGAAGAAATTTTAGAACATGGAAATCTCCAATCAAGGTGTAATAGGTAAAGAAGTTTGGTGAGGCAAGATGGGAATGTGATTATAATATAGGAAGCAGAAATTATTATTGCTTTTCTTGAGAAAAGTAGCGAGAATCAGAATGGGCAGGGTATGGGCAGGGAAGTGGTTGGACAACTTAGAATAGGGAATTCACAATCCTAAAGATGTTTGTCAAGGTGATGCCTAATGCCATTCCTACAATGTGCTTCCTTGATTGAATTGCGAGTGTCCATCCCTGTATAGGAGTGATTATATGAAAGAGGTGGGTCGGTCTTGTTGTAACAAGAATTCTGGTCTACCTAAAGCTCTTCTCATTGTAAATTAGTCTATTGACAATCTGGTTTATTTTTACAGTTTGCACATTTGGTTTTTAGTATGTTTTCTCTGCTGGATTGTCAGATTAGTGAGGGCAGGCAGGGATTGTACTGATTTGTTGTCTATCTTCTCCACATTGCCCAAAGAAGGTGTTCAATGAATAATAGTTGAATGAATGTATGTGATGCCAAAACCAAGTTTCTGAGCCTGCAAAACTAAAGACCAGAGAGAGCCATTCACTACAGAATATGCCACTTTAGTCATGTGGGAGCCAAACTCAGTTATACTCCTATTATACTCCATGCCTTCTGATCCAAATACAACAGCTTAGAAAAGGACTGGCTACAATGGGTGCTCAGTATATAGTATGCTTGTTTTACTTTCATTGAATCTGGGGATGATTCTTGAGTGTCCATTCTCATTTGGTCACAATGACCTCTGGGTTTTAGACCTGTTTATTCTTCATGATCATGAGATGAATTTGTTGGTCAACACCTTAATTCCTAGGAGTAAACTTAAAAATAAAGGCATCATTGAGATTTATGATGACAATACCAGTGGCAGGTTTTAAGGCAGGCTCTTGTATATAAGCTGCTTTTGAGTGAGTACTGGATCTTATTAGTTATTTTTATTTGTCAAATGCTCATGTAGCATTAATCATGTGCTACCTTAGAAATTAATATTTGTAAATAATAACTGTATAGAGTATACGTATTATTATCGATTTATTATTCTCATCTTCCAGATGGCAAAAATGCAGGTAAAGAGTGGTTAGGTAACTTGCCCAAGGCCACACAGCTAATAAATATAGAAACTGGAATTGAAATTCAGGCACTTAGGTTCCAAAGCCCTTGTGTTTTTCACCTCCATGTCATCCTACTTCTCTTTATAAAAACAATTATCAGCACAAGCTGTATTTTGTTCTAAAGTTTGAATAGCCATGTGCTATTAAATAGAAACATTGTGATCCATTTGTTTCTGTTGCTACTGCCTACTGCCTGGGCTTTGTTTCCATGGGCAGACAGAGAAAGCTTTAAGGGTGCATTCCTTTCCTCCTTTTGCTTCTAATGAGCTCAGGACTCTAATTTCATCTGCCCTTTTGCGCTGTTTGGTGTTGCAGCATTCCTAACTGCTTCTGATTGAGGAAGGGTTTTGTTTAAGGTATAGTTAACTTTAGGGTTCATTGTCCCAATATGAAGTCATGCAATCCCTCCCTAGGCTTTAATTCTCCCTACTTGACATTTTACCGAGAATGCCATTTGAGTCTATTCTGAGGTTGAATCAGCGTGGCAGTCAAGATGTTCTTCCTTTTTTGACCGCAGACTGTCTTGCGTTGCACGCCTTTTCCTTTCCGGCTCTATTTGTGATGACTCTTCTGTTGGGGATCATTAGAAAAGAGGAAAACTAGAATTTGGAAAGAGAAAATCATGGTTAAGGTGTGGAGGTTTTTGCATCTGAGCCCTGGGAGGGACATCAATAAATCCAAGTGGGGCTTATGGGGAAGAAGAGGGAGACATTGCTTCTCTAGCTTGATCTGTTTGGGCTGGAAATGATCACCATTGAAGCTAAATTACTTCTATTACCTGCATACTCTGTGCTAGCTAGGGTTAGTACTCAACACTACTCTTCGTGTGTTGTTTGTAACCTTGCACCAAGGAAAGTTACATTTTCCCCATTTTATATTGAGGGAACCAAGTTAAGATAGGGTAAATAACTTGTCTAAGATCTTTCTTTTTGTAAGTGGCAGAACTGGAATTCAACTTTAAGGTTGTTGTAGACGCTGCTCTCCAGCCACAGGACACTGACTCCACAAACCATGCAGGTGACTGTTAGCCAGTGGTGATAATAGTGGCGGGAGCTGGGTAAGTTTAAGCCCATTGTTTTCTTGTTCACTCTGATGACAGATAATGTGGCCAATATCCTGTTAGCAAATCTGTATGTACTTCTGTTTTCAGTTTAATTCAGCAAACATGTTGTTGAGTGCCGGTTGTGTGCTAAGGGGTGAAAAGATGAATGAGGAAAATTCTTTACAGAGCTCCTGGTGTAGAAGAGGAGACTAAGAGAGAACTGCAAAGCAGTTGGGTCCATGTGAGAATAAAGGTATGGGCAGAGGGCTCTAGAGTGGAGGGAGGGGACTCTTTGGGGAGCCAGTGTTGAGCTGGGTGGAGGAGCTTGATGAACTGTAGTATGGGGTGGACGAGAAGGTGAGTGATAGCATGAGCAATGGCTGTCACCTTTGAGGAATGAAAGTAGTCATATGTGATTAGCATATAGTGGGTATTTGGGTAGAGTTTTGACTAGAGGGTCAAAGCCTTTATGACATTCTATGAAGTTTGGGCTTCTGCCTGTAGGCGATGGGAGATGCTAAAGTGTTCCCCAAGTTTCCTGATAGGTAGTGAACTCCTGTAATGTGTCATTCACACTGAGAAGCTTTTGATAGTGAAAACAGACACTTAATGGTGGGTGTGCTGGGACAACAGGCATAAACTGAGACTGTTCTGGGCAACCCGGGATGTACGGTCACCCTCCTCCTGGGCTCTACTCTGTGCTTGTTTATTTATGTTCTTATTAGGTTCTCTTTTGGCTTTTCAAATACAGAAATCAATACTGGACTTATTCTACTATGTAAAAATGATAAAGAAGGGTTTGTTTTTTTTTTTTAAAGGCCA